GAAACAATAGAAGAAGGTGGATTGTAATTTTTTTCTGTTATTATAGATTTTTGATTTTTGAAAGATGTTTGAAATTTTTTTTTTTTTTGTTGATCATGTTGATATTGTTGTTGCGTGTGCATTGTGTGTGTGTCAAGGTGCAGGAGATTCAGAGCTCCCGCTCACCGCCACCCACATCTACAACAGAACAGAAAACAAGACCACCGCCGTTACATACAAGGTATCCATTAGTATCCACCAGTATCGAAGATTTATTTTATCGCTCGCTCGTTCGAACGCGCGTGCGCGCACGATCGCTAGACTCGCACGTTCCATGCAGAGGCAACATTATTTCAGACTGATTTATGGGTCGGACCGAATCTTCCAAGTATCGCGTAAAGGGCGAGAAGTTGCAGAGAAATCTACATTACCGACAAGAAATTTGGAATCTCAAACGCATTCTATAAAGTTCAACTCGTAAAAAAGTTAGGTTAGAATTTTCCATTACTTCGTAAAAAATTTTTTTATAAAAAAAAAAAAAGAAAAAAATCCAATGAAATTAATATCCACTGATATTTGTGCGCATATATAACTTCGAAATGATAAAATTAACAGTAAAATGAGAAGGAAAAAGAAGAGCGATTCCAAATTTTTTATGTGACAATGTATGTGAATCCTTTTTTTCCCCCTCTTTTCGTATATAGAAATTATATTCAAGTTTGAAACACGTTTCTGATTCTTCTTCGAATATTTCGTTTAAAATTTCCTACTTTTTTTTTCGATCATTTATGAAATTTATATTGTTATATTTTTCTTCTTTTTTTCCTTTTTAAATATTTTGCGTCAAAATTTTGTATCAATGTTCGTATTTTATGAACTTTATATCAAACGTGACCGTCATTTTTTTTTTCTTTTTCTTGACTATTAATTTCGTAAGTTTGGATTATATTAGACCTGAGGTTGCTACTAATTGTTAAGTGAGATTTACGAAGTTGCAAGACCGGTACACGACGTGCCAAATCATTCTCGTTCCTGATAAGTAAATTTCGTTTTTAATGAAGCGATGTCAAGCGTCGGAGATATCGACGTTTTTATTAACTCCAGGTATTTCCGTAAAAGCAGTAACTTCTTCGCTTAAATTACATCTTTATATCATACATTTTATGCTAGCTGCATTCGAATTATTAAATTTTATACCGGGCAGAGAAGAATAATACAAGTTTAATTTCTGAAAAGTATCCGCGATTTGAAATACAGTCCATTTTAGTCAAATTAAAGTATATAAATCATACGAAATTGTAATCAAACTACCTAAAATCATCGTAAACTAACTTGACGTAACTTTTACGAAATTAATTAAATTTGATTTATAATTTTTTTTAGAGGCACGATTATATATTTCTATTATTAAATATTCATTCTTGAAATTTCAAATTTTTTTCGCTTTTTTTCTATACTCTCGCGTTTTACGTACTAAATTTTTTCTCTTTTTTTTCTTGTAATATAATTGTGAAAAAATTTTTCGTTTATTTTTCTGTAGAATAATTCAAAATTGAATTTAAAAAAATCGAACGTCGGAATGCATAAGTAATTTCATTATTGTAAAGTAGAAATCATTTGTTTTTTGATAAAAAATAATGAAATTTATGATATAAAAAGGATCTTTGAAACAACAGTACAAAATTATACAAAAATTTGAGTCTGTATGAATAACTGTCAATGCGTATTTCAATTATATCGACGTTTCATAACAAATTTCAATTCGACTGCTGATTTCGACGAGCGACGGATCGGCATTAAAGGCGTTATCCGATCGAAGCCAGAACTTTCGCTTTTCAATTCTTGCGATTCGTCATTTAAAACTATTTATTTTTACGAAGTTGTATCAAGATAATAAAATTATGTCAAAACGCAAGATTAGTTAATAAAAAATTAATACGTTTTCAAATTGCTATTAATTTATGAATTTCGCAATAACCATCTTTCTCGTAATATTTTTCTCTAATTTAAAAATTCCTCTTACATTTCTTCCCCCTTTTGTCAACCGCGTATTCCAATTCCGTCTCTTTCAATTTTTTCAAACCCATATGTAATGATCGATTTGATCAAATTTAAAATATCTCTCAAGGCAAACCTCTTCGCATGGAAAGTGCTGCTATTTCCTCAAATTTCTCAATTTACAATAACAAGTTTAAACGTGTCTGTGCACCGATCATCGACAATTGCCGCGACAATTCTTTTGTTTCGCTCGTTTCGTTCGATTCGATCGAGAAGAAACGATTGACGAATCGTCGGTGGAAAAATCATGTCTTAGGATGACTCACTAAATGAAGTACTGTCTTCGTTGGATTATCCTTTTTCGTCTTACAAAAGGTCGTACCGGTGACCCGACCGGTTTTCGAAGTGGTCCCTATGTTCTTGCTCGTCTGGGTCAATATACAATATTGCCCGGCTAGTTCGTTTCAAATCGATAGATTTCAAACGGACACATTTTTCGCATCGTATCGTATTAAACTAAACGAAGAACGAGAACACATGGATATTCGGGAAACAAGATTTTTCGACTCGTTGAATTTTTGTCCCTCAATTTATATCTTTCGTTTGAGAAATCGAATTTGAAAACACTGAAAATACTATTGTCTTCCTGCTTTTATTAACGTAAGCAATTCATGTTTTCGCACACGGGAAGAGAATGAGAATTTTCAAAGAGAAAAATCGTTGATTCGTTCGATCCTTTGACTTTGAATTTGATTGAAAATTACATTATTGCACAAAATTTACCTTCTGTATCGCCGCATTGATTTTTCACTTAGAAATTATCGACATTAGAAAAGACGTAGTTCGAAGAAAAAAATAGAATTTTCACACAAAAGGAAAAGAAAAAGAAAGAGAAACGTCAACACTACGTTATGCACACTACTTTATAAACTGTCAAAGTTTCGAACGACTCTTTCTCGGAAAGGAAAACGTCACAAATACGTCGAATACGAATTCCGGCATACTTTTTTCTCAAGAATCATCCTCGAGAAATTTGAAATCATCGTGCTCGAAGTTCGAAAAATTTTACTCGCCACTGTTCAAACCGTCCCCGGCACAACACGTCGCGACGGAACACAGATCGGGCACAGACACGTCTTTCATCTACTGTCAATCTTCGGCGAGCGTACGGTTCGTGGAACGATGGAACCAGCACCAAGGGAAACTGATCGCTCAATCGACGCCAGACATCTTCAAACGTCTCCAAACGGCGGGGAATCACAATCGAACTTCACTTCCCATGTAAACTCTCATCGCGAAACGGCTCATCGGACAGTCTCACGTCAGTGTCACGGGCACAGAGCGTGGCGCACGACCTTTCCATATGATAATTCATTCGTAATCGTCACTCGAGGCACCACCCCAACCGGTGAAAAACCGACCGATCGACTCGAGAAATATCATCGTCGAAAGAAGGAGAGGAAGGAGGAAAAGAGGAAAAAAAGGGTGGCAGGGGAAAGAGGGAGGGTGGGGAGGGGAAAGAAACGAGGGAAGAAGAAGAAGAAGAAGAAGAAGAAGAAGAAGAAGAAAAGACACAACGCAGGGAAACCGCACTATTAAACACAAAGATGAAAAACAAAAGGAAAAAATCCGATCCCCCCGGGGTCTGATCGATGTCTGGGTCTGTCGCGAAAAATCAGCCCCTTGAAACCAGTCCCGTCGCCGAGCGGCGAATTAGAACAGGCTCGACAAAAAAAAAATAAATATGTATCACTGTACACGTATCATGTGCGCATGTACCTATGTACGTACGTACATGTGCACGGTATAGATACGTGCACGTAGATACATATATATGTATATATATATATATATATATACATATATATATATGTATATACATATATACATATACATATGTATATATATATATATATTGGAAAAGAATATTCCGGACAAAATGTACCTGTGCTGCTTGAGGTTGTCCTGCCGCTTGAAGGACTTTCCGCAGACCTCACAGGTGAAGGTCACATCGTCCTTATGGCTGCGCTCGTGGATCATGAGGTTGTAGGGCTTCGTGAAGCGCCGCTGGCAGTACTTGCAGACGAACTCTACCGTGCACTTGGCGCGCATCTTCTGCCGGCGGCC